ACATTAAGTAGACCCATTGGAGTTGAATTCAGTGACGAGAAGGCGAAAAGTAGATTCCAGGAACAACTGAGGTCACACTTAGGCAGTTCTGAAAACGAGGCTGACCCAGATGTTGCTTGGAAAGATATACAAACAGCTGTAAAAACAGCAGCCACATCTATTAGTGATTTGAACCAAAGAGCCACGAAAATACAGTGGATTTCTACTAAATCTATTGCACTTATATATTCTCAGCTCATCACCCCATCAGGCTCCGAACATGATGAAGATCTAGGCCCCCAAATGCCGTGGTATGGCCGAGAGTGGGGAGAGTCCGCTCTCCCTCTCGAAATGCTTTCACATGGCCACGCGTATATAGCCTCTGCCAGGGAAGTCCTACTCACTGCCTTCTCGTGGTGAGGGTGTTGTTTACGAAAATGAGAGGACGAAAAGCGAATGTCCGGCGCTATAACCGGATCCCAAATCAATGGTGCACATGGGCTCCAGTATCCTGAGGGAACAAATGGAGTATGAACCAATCGTTGGTCACCGGCTACCATGGGACTGCATCTCCTCACGATGCCCCACTGCCTTGTGGATCAGATCTTCAGGTCAAAGGCTCGGGGTGTGGCCCCCTAAGAAAACCACCTGCTTCGGTTTGGGCACCCGGGCAGTATCACAGCCCTTACATATATCAAATGAGATCTGTGTGGCACATATGTATTTGGTGTCTCCTTGTATCAATATCTATGTGTTAAAATAATATAATAATAAAAAAAGCTTAACCAAAAGTCTAAGGAACGACCGTGAGCAGTGGTGGGCAACGAAAACAAAAGATATCGAAAAGGCAACGGCTGTAGGTAACGCCAAACAGCATTTCAGACTAATAGAATAAACTAGAATTAAGTCGTCATGTGTGAGACGATCTCTGAAAAAGACAACATGTATCTGCTCTCAGTCCAGACGTTCAGAACTATGAATGGGACGCTTTAACGGCAAGTTCATCTGGCCTTCATCTACCCATCATTTCCAAACAGCCTAAATGGAACATTGAAATAGGCCCCTCGATTCTAATTGAAGCTCAGAAAGCTATAGTTAGACTGAAACGACGAAAAGCAGCCAGTCCAAATGGATTGGCTCTACAGGTCGTTAAGGATGGTGGTGTAAAAGCACACAATCAAATGTGACTGGGGATCCAACCATTTTGCGCTGCCTCAACTCTAGTGTTTACTACAATATCAACACCAACAGAACCACAAGCCTTAAATAGGACTCTCGAATAGACAACTGACATCGATGTTGAAACATCGCATAGGCATAGCTAACCCTATCTATTGTTCGATCTACATTAGTGTGCGAACATTAAAGGAGGCCATTTTGAATGGCATACATAGTTTCAGGAAGGCTAGTGCAGGATTCGTATTCTATGCTAACGTGTGAGCTACTTATGCGGACCGAAGTAAGTAGTATGTAGCAGGAATTAGAACGCTTACCAGCAGATGATCGAGATAAAGAGATGAGTAAAGAAAACAGACAGTAATCGGAGTAACAACAGATTTAGAAGAACGATTGATTATGTAAAAGACTACTCAAGAAAGATGTGCAAATGATGTATTTGATGCATGATTTTCATCTTTTACAAAGGCACTATGTAGTTTTGCATAAAAAGATTAATTGGTTCACTGTACCTGAGATTTTTTTCACTACAGTAGCATCCAACTGTCAACCAGATTACTTACTTACTTACGCCTGTTACTCCGAATGGAGCATAGGCCGCCGACCAGCATTCTCCGACCCACTCTGTCCTGGGCCTTCTTTTCTAGTTCCATCCAATTCTTGTTCATTTTTCTCTTGTCTACCTCCATTTCTCAACGTAATGTGTTCTTTGGTCTTCCTCTCCTCCTTCGACCTTGAGGATTCCATGTGAGGGCTTGTCTTGTGACGCAGTTAGGTGCTTTCCTCAACGTATGTCCTATCCACTTCCAGCGCTTCTTCCTGATTTCTTCCTCCACTGGGATCTGATTTGTTCTCTCCCACAGTCGGTTGTTGCTAATAGTGTCCGGCCAACGGATCTGAAGTATTTTGCGTAGACAACTGTTAATAAACACCTGTATCTTTTGGACGATGGATTTCGTAGTTTTCCAAGTTTCCACCCCATACAGTAGAACTGTCTTCACATTTGTATTGAAAATTCTGACTTTGGTGTTGGTTGCTAATTGTTTTGAGTCCCAGATATTCTTCAGTTGTAAATATGCTGCTCTTGCTTTGCCAATCCGTGCCTTCACATCTGCATCAGATCCACCGTGTTCATCGATGATACTGCCCAAATTTGTAAAGGTTTTTACATCTTCCAAAGCTTCTCCGTCAATTGTGATTGGATTGGTGCATGCTGTGTTGTATCGAAGAATCTTGCTTTTCCTTTAGTGTATATTGAGACCTATTGCTGCTGAGGCTGCAGCTACACTGGTTGTCTTCTCCTGCATTTGTTGTTGCGTATGCGATAGAAGAGCCAGATCATCTGCGAAGTCTAGATCATCCAATTGCATCCTAGATGTCCACTGTATCCCGTGCTTCCCTTCAGATGTTGATGTCTTCATGATCCAGTCGATCACCAGGAGAAAGAAAAAGGGTGAGAGTAAGCAACCTTGCCTAACACCAGTCTTTACTTCGAACGACTTTGTCAACTGTCCTCCATGCACGATTTTGCAGTTTAATCCATCATAGGAATTCTGTATGATATTGACTATCTTCTGAGGCACGCCGTAGTGTCGAAGAAGCTTCCATAGGGTTGTTCTGTCCACGCTATCAAATGCTTTTTCGTAGTCGATGAAGTTGATATAGAGTGATGAATTCCATTCAATTGATTGTTCCACAATGATCCGTAGAGTTGCGATTTGGTCTGTGCACGATCTATCCTTACGGAATCCTGCCTTGGCATTTAGGTCTCCCATCAGAATAGTCAGGTCTTTTGTTGGGAACTTCTCGACGATTGACTGCAGCCTATCGTAGAATTGATCTTTAGCATCTTCATTGTATTCGTTGGTAGGCGCATAGCATTGGATGACGTTCATTGTAATGCCCGTTTTCTTTGTTTTGAAGGAGGCTTTGATGATCCTTGGTCCATGAGATTCCCATCCTATAAGTGCATTTTGTGCTTGTTTGGACAGCATCAATGCAACTCCTTGTGTATGTGGAGCATTTTCTTGTTCATGTCCGGAGTATAACAGCAGCTCCCCTGAAGCTAGTCATTGTTGTCCAACTTGCGTCCAATGTGTTTCACTGATCCCAAGCACCTCTAAATTGTATCTCCTCATTTCTGCAGCAATTTGGAAAACTCTCCCAGTCTCCCACATTGTGCGAGCATTCCATGTACCTAAGTAAATGGTTGCTCTGGTTGTCAGAAGGGGCATCGGCCTCGTGACTTCCGAAGAAACTCGGCTTTCATCATGAGGCGTCATAATTCTTCTAAACGAAGACCTCCTTACTCCCAGGGCAGAGTTTAAATGGTTAGAATAATTTTTTCTGGTTAGCGTTTTTTTAGTGAGTTAGTTTTCTACGGGATGGGGTCGCTAATCCCATGCCCAACCCCCCTCCTTTATCCGGGCTTGGGACCGGCAGTAGCCCCTGGAAAGGGACTCCAGATAGTCACTTAAAATCGTTTAGGTATGATGAGATATTCACGATAGATAAGATGTATGAGTGGAAGAATAAAGGAATATTCAAAATGGGAATAAAAAAATAGATAGGTGACACAGTTTATGATAAAAAACGAATATTAACATGTAGTTCTAAGTATGGTTTGCGAGACTGGGAGTTAAAGCGTGAATAGTTTTTATAACTGTAGTCATCATTTAGATTTGTGTGGGCTAGGTTACATTCCGGGTGCCTGTGCCTATGTCCTATGGTCCTACTACCTCAGACTTTGACTCAGAGGGTCAATCCACTTATGCTATGCAGTCCTATGGCAACCGGTGACCAAGAGTAGGTGCACGCGCCATTTGTTCCCTGGAGAACATGTACACCCTTGGTTTGGAATCACCGTTTTCCGTCTCCCCTAGGTGGATCATCCGTACCCATAGACCGTGTTTAAGTGCGGGACATTCACTATTCGTCCGTAAACAACATCTCGTCACGAGAAAACAGTAAGTATTTGATGGTGTAGTTTAGAAGGTAGTAAAGCATAGCCAAATGACACAGTCCAAGGAGGATAGTGACTAGAGTTGGCTTGTACACTATACTTATTATCTTGGAGCTTATGTAGAGCATTGGTTTGGAATTAAAGTCTCCCTTTAGTGGATATCGGTATTCATTTACCTGATTTAGAGGTTGAATGTCACTTTCACATCTCCACCATGTGAATCTAGGAAAGACTTCTCTAGAAAAAGCTGTAAACGCTCAATCGTATGAGGTATTTCGAATAGAGCAGATACTTACCTTTGGTTGTGTAACAGATGTACATTATATGCAAGAGGAAGATAAAGATTTTTATACTAAGTTCAGTATTCTCAATCAGACATTGAAAATACACTTCTCTTTAGTTAGTTCTTCATAATAGCTCTACTGTGATATATTATACAATTGAAACAAAACAGAAATCAAGTAGCAGCATATCTTCATCTTGTCTTACGAAAATAATAGTAAGCTAGTAATAAAACGAATATAACAATCAATCAATCGGTTGATGAATAATAATGATCACGTAAATACGGCTAAAAATAAATGTGTACAAGGTTGGGTTTAGTAATCAGTTAGTGATTGGAAATGATTCCATTGGAAATAGAAGTTGGGAACTGGTCTGGAATTCAGGATTTGAAACCTAGCCAGACAATGTATTTATTGTACTATCTAAACTTTGGGATACTGATTGTAAATGATCGATTGGAATATTCAATGCCTTCATAGTTTTTTTATGGAAGCATGTTTACATTGTGGAGTGAGGTAATATTGGGTATTTATTTACATCGTCACTTGTTATTTTTACTTAACAGACTATAAGTTTGTGTTTGTTCATCCATTTTAAGGGCTTAGGGACTGCGCTTGGCGAATTGCCTCCTTATTTCATGGCTCGAGGTGCCAAGCTTTCCGGGGAATACAGTGATGAATTATTGGATTTACAGGAATCCATCTCGTCGAATCAAAATCTTTCAGACCAAACAGTTACTTTTCAAAAGAAAGCTGAACGTTTTTTGCATCATCTAATCATGAAAGCTGGATTTATTGGAATTTTACTTTGTGCTTCTGTAAGTTATTGGTTTACAATGTAATAGCTGCTTTAGAAATTGGATTACTCTTTATTAACTTTTAAAGTTTTTAGAATTAAACTAGCTAGCCACTTTGTCAGTATTACTTCATTACCTAACTAATTTATTTATTTAAATATGAATTCAGGAAAAATTAACAAGTCGTTTGTGTAGTATATATTGTGGCATAACCGTTTTCTCACAATTTAATAGTCTCGTTTTAGTATTTAGAATGTTAAAAATAAAGGGTGTCAGAGCAAATAATTGTTTTCAATAAATTTGCCGTAATAATGCAATAATTACGGATTTAAAACTGTAGGGTCTAATGATGAAGTTACTGGAAACAGTTGTTCACTCTAATATTCTAAGGGCTTTGCATATTCTGTGGAGATTTTTCAAAAATGTTTTCTTTTCACGTAACATGTAACTATGTTAAGCGAATTCTATATTTTTACATAGATTCCCAACCCACTGTTCGATTTGGCTGGAGTAACATGTGGACACTTTTTGGTGCCATTTTGGTCTTTCTTTGGAGCAACTTTTATTGGAAAAGCCTTGATCAAGGTTCATTTACAACAGCTAACTGTGATTGCTTTAAGTTCTGAGCACCATGTAGAAACATTAGTTGAGTTAATCGGGTAGGTAGCACGTTTTATTCCTTTGAATATTATATAATCAATTGCATTTAACTAAAATAACTGTAAATGCCATAACCTGAGATAGAGAACCATTTTTACACCTAAAATTCTGTTTTAAAACTTCAAATGTACCGAACACTTAGCTTTTTGTCTACATGAAGTAAAATTTTATTTTCTCTACTTTGAACTGTTTCATGTTATTCTCCCATGAGGCTTCCGTCAAGACTTGGATAAGTGAATTCAGGAGGTGGTATCTCTAATATATTGCTTTTCCATTTAATTTTCCCTTTTTATTTACAGATTGAAATGATATGTCCCCGATTACCAAAACTCAACTAAATATTTTATATAAATGTAAATCGCTTCATATTTTTAAAATCTTAATATTTTAATAGTTTAGCAGTTTAAATATCCCCGTAGAATATTCAAAAATAAAGAATAGTTGAGCGAAGAGTATTTTCAATAATTTCACCACCAGGTTCTACATTTATAAGTCTATAATTATATTATTTTACAAAGGCCAAAATAAAGCATGCATTAATGTATCTAACGATGTTGTATGTTAAAAACGGTTAATTTTCGCATCTGTTACGACATAAATACTTCGAAGCTGCGTTATTTGTAGAACAGAAAGTTAATTTTCTTCTGAACAACATCATCAACACACACTTTAAGTATAAGTGAAGTATTCAAACTCCATTATATAATTTGTCCACCATGTATTTGAAACAGACATTTGACCTTTTATTGTGGATATAACTTTATTTCTCAAAAATGTGAATATACGTAATTGTTTTTTCTTTGTCATGTGTTCCAAAATACGAGATTATCATGGGGTTAATGTTGGGAGATTGACAGTGGGGGAAATTTTTGAAATTTTGCTACATGTGTAACAAGTCAACATAATAGGTTTTAGTCTATATCTATCCCTGGGATACACATTCTGAGTATGCCTTCATTTGCTTACCTTAGTTGTTATTACGTGAATAATGAATATTTGGTTTCGACTCCCTGCCACTTATGTCCGCGAAGGACAACCACTTCCTGTTAACTAGTACCTTATATATCACCTAATTGATGGATTACTCACGCCTGTTACCCCTCGTGGAGCAGCATAGGTCGCCCACCAGCAATATCCATCGAACTCTATCCCGAGCCTCCTTTGTCCTTGACCGGTCTCTCTGGTTTACCATATTTCCCTGCCAGTTTCTTCGTCGTGTCATATGTTAATCATATGTTAACTGGTACCCCTCTCAGTTTACATCTAATTGTATGTATCAGTTCACTCGTATTACCTCAATAAATTACATTAGTCAAACAGAGATAACAGATTATCTTAAATTCTTCGGATATGTTCCGAAAAGACTGTTCTTTAGATAAATAAAGATTTTCAGCAGTAATGTTTCCAAATATCTGGTTGACTAATGACAAGAAAATCATGTTGAAAACCTTCAAAACGAATAAGCAACAACTAGACTGTTCTTCAAAAGGTTACTGAAACTACATTTGTCAAGTTTAATATGATTTATTTTAATAAGTATATTCCTTTTATGATCCAAGCAAATTATCTCAACTAAAATGACGGTTTAATGTTATTTGAAAAGTCTGCAGATTAGTTATTATGAACAATGTTTATGTTTCGGAAAAGTTATATTGTTCTGGTAAGAAACACAGCTCATACAAATAAAGTTTACGAAAGTTTTTATTCAGGTTAGACTACAATGATTATGTTATAAAGTTGCATTCTATTGACTACAATACCCGATGTTCATACATTAGGTTGTTCATCTTCCAGTCCTGTTCTACCTACTTTTATTTTGCTGCTATGTTAGTATTTTTAAAATTCATCCAAAATGCTAATCACTGATTCGTGTTGCCCACTGAATAGTTAATATAATTTTAAAATATTTTATTATTGCAATAGGAGTAAGAAATAGAAGCCTTAAAAGTATGTGAAGAATTGCACATTGATTATCATGACGATTTCTTGACATGTTTAATGTTCCTCTAATTTTTCATTACACTTAAGTATGAGTTTATTTACGATCTAGATCTTAAAGTAGTCAAGAAACTTCTGGACCCACTCTTTTTACTACTGCAGTCAAGTGAACCCAAGAGAAGCTCGTTAGTAAAAAAAGGGCTGTGTTGGAGAAGTGCAATCTATATTAGCAACAAGATGTGTATGAGTATCAGGTTTTGGTTCTTACTTTATTGCTTATCACATACAAATAGATAACATTTGTCTTAGAACTTTATAAAATATAGAGGAAAAACAGAAGTCAATATTTTAAACAAAAGCATTTTTTTCAACAAACTATGTTCAGTGGTTATTTAATTCAGGTAGCTTTCATTGTTGAAAGCAAATACTCTCTTGAAATTCGATATGCCAGTATGTAAGATTTTCGTATGAATTTATCTTTTGACTAATTGTATTATGGTAGCAACTTGTGGGATGTATTCTTATCTGTGACGTTACTAGAATTATCTGTTGTTATTTTTTATGCTAATCAAGTTTAATGAGATTGTATTGTTAGACCTAATACCAATAAGTTTTCAGACGAGTTAAACAATCTAGGCAACTGTACTGAAGTCACACAAAATAGCAAGTGAACACTTTTTTTTTAAAATTATTAAATGAAGAATGAAGAGCGCAAATGAGAGGTATACTTATTCCAGTGACAACAAAGTGATTTTCGTAATTTATAAAGGTCAATTTGATCTTAGTGCAATAAAAAAGGAGTATAACTTGTTTGTGTGCACATGTATTTTAAGTTGGAATGATTGTTTCGAACATTTTAGACGACTTGAGTCTGCGCTTCTTAGTAGAACTTCATGATTCATTTATATAATCCACTAATTTTAAATGTACTCCATTTACCAATGTAATTAAATACAAGAGATTTTATATTTTGCTTAGTATTACGTTATTGACTGATGCATATTTATTTTCTAGCTCTAACTATGTTTTAAATCATAAGAAAATGCTTGATCACTCTCGAACAGTGCAATCTGAAACGGGTTCCTGTGTATTAAATTATATAAACTAACGTGCAAGCCGTTTTGAGTGCAAGTTATTTTTGCGCACTTCAGTTAACTGGTAGATTTTCCTGGATTAATAAAGCAGTCGTTTATCTGTGTTCTCGTACATGCCAAAATAAAAATTGTCTTTGTCCAACTGTTGTTTCATACCAACATGTGTTTTTCAAAAAAATAATATTGTATAAATTGTTTGGTTTTTTTATTTCGAATGATTTCAGTCGTGTTCCAGTGTATGGTAAACAATTACAATCTCCATTTCTTGAATATTTACACCAACAAAAAGCTAGTCTACACAATAAAGAATTTAATGGAGTAAGTAATTTGAACTACCATTTATTCCATTTAGTAGTTTGTTACTAGAATTAGTTTTATTATTTACAGTTATTTATTTATAAAATTAAAATATTTGTAACATCACAATGAGTAGGAAAATTAAGATTTTAAACTTACTGACGTTTCATGACTCAGCGTAAGCCATTTCGTCGTAGAAATTATCAAGTAAAACTGTGGTAATAACACCTACAGGAGATTTATTTTTTAAATTACTAAGTGTCTTAAACTTACAATGTTTATGCACAATAAATCCTTAACTGTCACTGAATATTTCACGTATTTGTTTGTTAATATGTATGGTACATCATCTTATGTTCATGGATTAGATCGTTTATGTGTTGTTGAGTATTAAAAAAATTAATATGTCTTTAGCTGGTTGTTGTTGATATGACGGGATTAAAAAGCAAAATTACTCAGTGTAGTATTTATTTTGTTTGCCAATGTATTATTTTATTTGGTATAACATTTGATTTATCCAAGATACGGTATTCTTGTATTGAATTAAGATGAACTACGCTCAGCATGACATGTAGCATGTGATATATTATTATAACTCACGATCTTTTTCATATATGTGACTTCATCTTAATTAGTAATCAAAATGGGTTAATAAATCTTAACTTGTTCCGGTCTTGGTGTTATTACTTTGCGTCGTGACAATTGCAGTGGTTCTTCGTTTTACAAATGTGAGTAATTGGTAATTCCGACATAACAATTAGCGAGGACCAGACATAACAGTTGGCGACACAGTCATAACAGTTTTACGTGTAGATTAACAGGGATTATCCTGAGTGGTTTTCATGAAATATAAGTATTCTGAATCATCGGATACTCGACAAATCAGTTAATTATTGCGTAACAACAAATGTCATCGATCCCACTCTTAATTCAATTATTTCCACCTATCTTCGTGGGACTGTAACCTGTTCGAGGGGGGGGGTGCGTATTAATTTTTAAAGTCGAGTCCAATTACGTAACTGCCCTAATAAGAAATCTTAGAGTAAAACAATTCCTTGCAAATATTGTATTTCTATTTACTCATCCTAGAGTAATAATTGGGATGCAACTGTGATCGTGTATTCATGGACTTAGTCTATGGAAGCAAACTTTAGCGTAAATCATTGTGGAGAACTCAAATATTTTACACTTTGTGTGCTTCAATAAATTTGTTTCTATAAATGATTTTTAACATTTTCTGTAAAGTATTTTAGAATATTTCACTGCTCTATCACTTTCTTTTCAAATGAATTTTAGAAACAAAGTTGGCTTCAGTTTGTGTTATTTGTCCTCATAACTGGACTCATTATTTCATTTCTCGTATCCATTATTCATGCGCTTTCGAGGAGTTATCATCGTAGATTATGCGAATGGCGGCGGCTTGCAGAAGGAGAAGTACATAGTAAAGATGAATAATTGTCAATATTAAAATTGTGTTAGTTTCGACTTCTAAAGTTATTTCATTCCATATTATTTATCAGTACATAGTTTTACGTTGCCTTTTAAAATGTGATCCTTTTACTCACCCAATGTTGTTTCCAAACGTGTTATACAACAGTGAAAATGTTTCGAATTTATTGACACGATATTTTATTTCGAACCGTTGGCAAACTTCATCTTCAAAATTTTTACAACCATACAATTGTCATTTCTTTGACATTTTTTAAATCCAAATTGTGTTCATTCTAGTTTATTTCGAAACCAAGTGTTTCTGTACTAAAATTTCTTAGGTATTATATTCTGTGCTGAAATCAATTTGGTCTACTCTTGATTGCAGTTAGTATGTAACATTGACTATTCAGTGATACATGTACAAATTTTCCTATCTTTCTATGAATGTTATTTATTTCATTTGTTGAGAAGACTCAGTCAGTCAGCAACGACGTAGAACTTCGTACGTACGTACGTCAGTTCGAGTTGCCATACTACATTAGCACAGAGTGTTATATGTTGTGACCGCCGACTAGAGGGCAGTGAATTATCGATCGGACAGAGGACGCGCAAAAGACGTGCGGGCGGCCTAGAGTTCTGATTGGTCCTGCTTTCCGCCTAGCCCAACCAGTTAGGTCCAGAACGCCAATATCAGCTTCTGCAATATGAATCATTATATTTCGAACATACTGAGTTTATATACCAATCAAACAGACCGCAACGTAGCATGAAATAGAAAATAACATTCGTGCAAAATTTGACCAAATATGGCTGTGAATGTGGGTGGCAGTGACTAATAGGCAGGGCATAATTCAAGAATGGTAAAACGTATGATAATGGTTCGTAGATCTAAATAAAGCTTATAATAAGAGGAATATGGATATAAATGGTTCAGTTATTTATATGATAAAAATATACGTTTAGTATTGGTCTTCAAATGGATCCCAAAATTACCATTCATTATTGTCGGGACATAACAGAGTTATAATTGTTGATTCATATCCTGTAATGGTGGAGATAGTATTGGAATAAGCAGTAGTTGGAAAGATTGGGGTTCAAGGAGTATAATCCAGTGAAATAAATTTGGAAAGAGAAAAAAAAAGAAACGACATGAAGAATTCGGGAGAGCACAAAGAGTGGATGCACCTGCACCACTGCAAACTATTTCGAGCCATGTCATTCAAGGTATCTAACCATCAATCGCTATCATCTCGCGGACCCTAACCAGGTATTCCACACCTACCAACATGACTCAGTCCACTTGTCAGTGACTCCATGGATTTGTGCCATGTTTCGGTCTGGCCGCCTCTAGCTTTCTTCCAACCTACTCTTACACCATAAAACATCGCACGTCGGGGCAGTCGGTGGTCGGGCATGCACAACACATGTCCCAGCCATCTCAACTGATTAAGTTTCACTATTTCGTCAATTGATTTGCCATCCTTACCTAGTACCCGTTTCATAACAACTGAGTTACTTACTCGGTAGTCCCAGGATATACGAGCAATGTTTCGAAGACATCTATGGTCGATAACTAGTAACCTACGAATACCATCTCTTACCGGACATGTTTCACTGCTATAAAGTAGGACGGAACGAACTGCTGCTCAGTAAACCCGTTCCTTGATTGGTAGACGGATATGCGAGTTGAAACTACTTACGTGTTTATACTCACATTGTTTCAAGCAAACTATTAGTGTGATGTCTATTAGAATGTATTTTCAAATAATTCAACATGACAATCCTTAAATTTATCAAAGATGTGGGTTGGTCTTAAGATATCTTGGCAAAATCATAACTATTGAATATTTATCTGACTGGGCGAAAGCTGTCTTAGATTGATAGATCCTTTGTAACCTAGGTTAGTATCTGGTGATCAGGGTACATAGAGTAGTCATGTATCTTAGTTTGTGTACATTTTAACATTATTATCGCGAAACTCGCAGTTTTAACTGGTGCATTTGGTGTAAAAGCGAACCAGTACACGGCTCCTCGAGGTAGGTCCGAGCCCCGTGTTCGAGATTGCAGGTGCGTACTACTGAGAAGTCCCATTCTTTGAAGAAACAGCCGTCCGGCGTTTCTAGGTCTTGAATCGTTCCGTAACTTCGATGAAATACGACGAGACCCATGGCCTCCTGTTGACGACTATTGCTAATTTACCCGATCGATTTCCAGAGAATATGTTGCTGGACTGGTAATATTACATAACTATGAGAGAGAAAGTGGCGTTACTTTTTTCAATGGTGATCAAGTACGTGGTTTGAGATTACTATTTGTCTCACTCATGCTCAGCAAGATACTTATATGATATTGAGGATCAAATGTCTCCAAATAGATCTTTCTTGATGAAATCAGTTTAGACGTGGGTCATAATTGCAGTATTCATATACACATGTCTCGTTGCGCTTTGAATATTTAAAACTTGATCTCAATCATTCGAACGCAGAAAAGATCTTCCTACTTATTTCTGAAATTGCAGTAAAGAATGTTGATAGTAGCTGGTCCATTCCTCCTGACCTGTCCTCTACAATCCAAGGATTCAAATAATGTTATGGTCAGAAAAGTGTGCTTCAATTCTATATTTATGGAAACTTTGTGCTAAGAACAATTTTCTAACGATATATGATTCTGCTAACATTTCACTGTAGAAGTTTATTCAAATACATTTGTTGTGTCCTTAGAAGATGAGTTATGTACTTTTTACAGAGAGGATTCTGGAAGTCATCAGAAATTGTTTTCTCGATATAATCACGTAATTCAAAATAGTCAAAACTAAACCTAGTATGTTGATTTTGTAGAATTTTATGAGTAATACAATGTCACTTAAGCACCAGTCTTTTGAAATCTGAGCAGAAAAAATAAGCATGATCAAATAAAATCGGTTAGTGTCATGGTTCGGTCTGCGTCACTGTTTGTAGATTCATCTTTCAAGAAACTGCTTATGTCCGCTGTTATTTATGGCCTCCATGGGTTGACTAGTATTCTGCGTTTCGGATTTATCTGTTAGTTTCTGTTTATTTTATTAGGATCAATACTTCAAATTATAAAGACTGGAAAGAATTTAGATTGTCATTCCAAGAGTCATTGGATTCCCTCCAGTTTGAAGAGACAGTTCAATTTACATAACCGTGAATAAACCTTACATGTTGAATATTGATTCAGTTTCAGTTTGGAAAGGACAGGAGGCTTGATGGCCTGTGTTAGTCCTGGAAATTGTGTTCTCTCAGTTGATCCAACTTTCTTTTGAAAGAATTTACCGATGGAGCTTCAACCACGTGTTGAGGTAATAAATTCCACTCGTTGATGATTCGGTGGGAAAGTCCTCGTAAATTCTCTGTTTTGGAAGACAGGAAAAATGAGGGCATATCAGGTGCAAATTTATCACTAAGCAGTTTGAAAACTGTAATCAAGTCGCCTCTAGTTCTACGATATGACAAAGGGAATAGGTTTAGCATGTCCAGTCGAGCATCATACGGAAGCTTCGCTATTACTTGAATCAGCTTAGTTGCTGTTCTCCGGACCTTTTCCAAAAGCTCACTGTCTTTTTTAAGCAGGGGCTAGCCGCTTGTATGCAGTACTCAAGTTTAGGACGTACAAACACTGTATACAAAGTCAAAAACGTTTGAGCGTCGACATGAGTAAAAGCCCTACGTATTGACCATAAAGTTCTAAAAGCTTTGGCGGCTATTGCACGGCAGTGTGCAGTAGTCTTTAGATCTTGGCTAACGATGACTCCTATGTCATTATATGTCTGGACAACAGGTAGCTAAGTGTTGTTCATTGTGTATGTATCTGAACCTTGATGACTGATATGCATCACAACACACTTGGAAGTATTTATCGGCAGCTGCCATGTATGAGACCATTCGGATAATTTCTTCAGGTCATTTTGGAGTTCTACGCTATCACCCTTACACCATATCGTTCTCCATATCTTGACATCGTCAGCATATAGCAAGACCGATGATGATAGTAAGCGAGGAAGGTCATTTACATACAAGAGGAATAGCACTGGCCCCAAAACTGTACCCTGGGGCACTCCACTAAGCACAGTTTCCCAGCTAGATAATTTTGAGTTTACCCGTACTCTTTGTTGGCACCCAACAAGGAAGTCTTCTATCCACATCAATAGATTGTCTCTAATTCCGAAATTTTTTAGCTTATATAACAGCCGGTTGTGCGGAACCTTGTCAAAAGCTTTGCTGAAATCAATGTAAGCCACGTTTACAGGTTACTTTTGGTCCTTAAAAGCGCACCAGCTTTCTCGAGTGACTAATAAGTTAGTGAGACAAGAATAACCTATTCTGAAACCGTGCTGTTTCTCCGAGAGGATTCGGTTCACATCGAGGTATTTAAACAGCTCTTTCCGAATAATCTTTTCTAAGATTTTAACAACCACACTAGTTAGGCTAACGGATTGGTTATTCTCAGGTTTATGTTTCGTACCTGTTTTGAAGACAGGACATACTATGAAGTTCTTCCAGTCTTTTGGTAAACGATCCTGCGTTACGGATATCTTAAAGCATATACTTAAAGGGTTCGCAACGAAGTTAGATAATTCCTTTAGTAGCCTAGGATGCAATTCAACGGGCCACATGGATTTACCTATGTCAAGCTTATTTAGCAGACCAAAGACATCGAGTTCATTTATGGTCACGCTATCCAGTGTATGTGTGGGGGGGTTTGTATGCTCTGGCTGGAAGGGTGCTTCTATGGTATATACATTGCTAAAGTAGTTTGAGAACACTTGAGCCTTACCAAAGTCATCTTCCACTAATGATGCGGCAGTACTGTCTCCCCATAGTGCAGGATTAATTCCTCTTATTTTGTCCTTTGGTTTGTATAGGAATACAGGCGTTTAGGACATTCTATGGATTCCTTAACAATTTTTTCTTCCTACAGCTTTCTATACTTACGGAGGGTCGAGGAACAGGTATTCCTTGCTTTTCGGTACTGAGATTTTGTCTCATCAGTTCCCAGTAATCTAAATCTATCCCACATTTTTCTTCTCTTACGGAGAAGGATGCGGACCTCCCTAGTAAACCATGGTGGGGAGTTTCTCGGCCCCCTTGGTATAGTCCAAGGGATGTGGGGTGCGGTAAATTTTAAGTATAAATTTCGGAATGCAACCCAAGCCGTTTCAATTGAGGACTCTGGGTCTATTGTCCAATCTACTAATGATGCCGAATGCATGATATCTGGTATGCCTGCTTTCCAGACGTTAGGTCTGGATTGAGTTGACTCTTGCTCGTGATTGACAGTTATATGGAAGTCAAAAGTTGAAACTGCGTGATCACTAGAAGTGGAATGTAAA